CTATTTATTTATCAAGTATATCTGTAATTTGACTATAAAATATGTTTATGATTTGTTCTAGAAATTGAATACTTTTTTGGAACATCTTATCTGCTGTGCATATTATGATAAAAAATAGCTATCTCATGATTGCGGCATTTGCTTAATAAGCAAGCAAATCCTTTACACTTTCGACATGATAAAAAAAAGATTCTTAATCTTCTTCGCATCTTCGAAAAGTAAAGGTTTGACGTGAAATCATATATGACGGTTTACTCACTCACGAATAACTTTTTTTAGGCCCGTTAGGTAGCAGAAAACTCTTCGTGGTACAAGTTCATATCTTTAAAAAAACCCGAAAATCTCTCCCTTTCGCTTTTCTGTAAGGTCTTCCCTTTATTCATTCTGTTTCGGAAAAAACTTTTTTTCCTTCAGCCTTAGCATACCAATTAATTTCAAGATATATTGTTCCTAACAAATGTTGCCAAGCTCGATTGCCATCTGTCAACATCCAAACGTTAATGGAGCGATGAAATCGAAATCGGCAAAGCATCAATTAAACATCATAGGTGCTCATGCTTAATGTTTCATAAAAATTTAACGGGCATGTTGGTAATTGAAGTAATCATTCAAACTTCCGCATCATCGGTGCTCACCTAATTACAGTTGCCCTTCGCGTACGTGATGTTATGACCAATCTGTGGATTATTTTTTGAAATTCTTCAAATCCAAATCAAACAAGATTGCATTAATTTTTGTAACCAATCGAAGGGTGCAGTTTGGCTGGATGTAGCTACATTGGGTGCAGGCCAGTGAAACTCCTTCTGCATGAATTCTTGCTGCCTTTCCAACAATGCTCATGTTCTCAACAATGGCGAAGCGAAGGCCGATGTACATAAGGTAGAGATGTCGTCCCGCAGTCATCCTCTACATTTCAGTGCACTGCATGCGAAACATGAGAGGATGAAGTTAAAACTATCCCTAGATCCTCAAATATGACAAAAGAAATTTAAAGTGTTTTGAGTGAGCCAGCCGTAGAGTCCCGATAATCGGCTAAGAACGTCACTAGTCTATAATTGTACATAAGTTGTCTCACTCCATCATGATCAGCAACATAAATCAGGATAAAAAAGGATACAACACATTCAAAACAAGCAAAAACAAGTATTGCTATAACGATAAAGTTTCAAATTCTTTTTCGCATTTGGAAAAAAAAGCTCTGCGTTCTAAGCCATTCAGTCAAATTATGGGCAGTGCTTTGCACTTGATAATTTGTGCTAAGACTTCATAAAACTTCGAGAACAAGTTCTTTGACCGCTATGTGCGTGTTCACGTCTTTTTTTTTACTACTCTCAGAATGCATGCGGAATCCG